ACCCAGAAGTAGATTTTATAACCATTCCAATAACACAAATGATTGAATTTGTGGGGGTTTAAATATCTAACTCAGAGGCATTCAGTTCCTATGAGAAGGAGTCAGGGATTTATTCTGCTGTTTCTGACTTCAAGTTCAGTGCTTTCTTCCATGGTGCCTGCCTATTGACTGTGAAGGACCACGATCCTGCTTAGATGCTTTTACCTTCTGCATACTGCTTTGCATGTGCACAAGAAATACTTGTATGGAACAGGGTCCAAATTTATTAAAATGTTCCAAATAATGCATTCTTTCATCTATTTGTATTTAGCAATGTTCAGAATTTTTATTGTTCAGAATGCACATGCATTTTTCATACACAGGTGACTGGTAAATGTTGTGCTGGTTAGGTGCAGAAGTGGGCAGCTAGGAATTAACTTCAGATGCGTTAGCAGACATGTAAACATCAATAAATGCTTATCTATGTTCTGAAAACATGCCTACATTGATTGGAGCAGGTTACAGAAGACTCACAGAAAGCAAAAATCTTCCATTTCCAAATGACAATCAAAATCACTCTTGAAATCACAGAAACATTAGACTTGTTTTGGTTTTAAAAATTAAGAAGACTAAGCAAACATCCATGTAGCCATTGCTCAAAAAACCTAAAATTTTAAAAAAGAAATATAAAGTTGAAATCTCCTTTGTTTTCCATGCCCAATCTCTCCCTTCCTCTCCCTATTCTGAAGAACAGTATGGATGCCAATCCACTGTTTGCACGTGTGCACAAATACATCTGTTTCCACAAATAATTTATAGTATTGGTTTTTTAATATTATATATACATATATATATAATGTTGTCACACTGCTTACAGCATTATGTAGCTTCCTTTTTTAAAAAAGGCATTATTATGTTTTTGAGCTCCATGTGAAAATATTAAATCTAGCCTATTTCCTTTAGTCACTATATGGCACTTTGTCATATGAATAAAATAATTTCTTATGCCTTCTCTTATATCTGTTGATGGACATTAGAATTGTTACAAATGATACCCCAATGAATGATACCACGATGGATGTGCTCGCACAAGTGTTTAGCCCTCTGATACACATTCCAGTTTTTCCAAGGGTTTTGCCTATGGCTGGGAGGTCTACTAGGTACATGCTTAGTTTTGATTTTAATGCATATTGACAAATTATTCCCTGAAACAGTTGTACCAATTTACTCTCTCAATTTATTTGATTACCTTTTTCTCCATAGTTTTTCCACCAGTAGATATTATCAGGCTTTAAATCTTTGCTAAGCTAATAGATAAGGAAGAGCATTTTCTTATTTCAGTTTGTATTTACCCCAATGTCCTGGGGTAATCTAGCATTTTCCCCATCGTTACTGGCTGTTCAGGTTTCTTTTATTATGAATTGCCATGTGCTTTGCCATTTTGGGGGGGGGGTGTTTGTGGGGTTTTCTCATTAATTTATAAGAGGAGCTCATTATGAATTTGAATCGTGTAACTGCTATTTAACTGCTGCAAATATGTTTTTATTTAACTATCATCAAGTTCATAGTAGTTTATCACTTATTTTTCTTTAGGAAGAGTACACAAGGTCAGTTCCAAGTGTGTAAAGGGCTTTATCCTTTAACAAAAAAAATCCAATGTGAGATGGTGTACAATCTCTCCAATCAGATGAACAGCTGTAAAGAGCTTCCAGAGTTTTAAATAAAAACTTTCTTATAAAGGCCTTCAAAGTTCTTCCCCAAACCTGGAGAGCTGTTCCCTTTCAGCTTCTTGGGATTACACAGAGACCAACACATTCTGTAAGCAGGTGAGCAAAACAAGAGGACGTGGACTTTACTTTTACAAACCAGTAGCTGAGCAGAATCTATTTTCACAAAAACCTCTAAGAAGTTTGAGAGTAGTTTCATTAAGTGAAATTTGCCATTTAGTGATCATTGTTAATGCATCTCAGACTTTAAGGTTTACCTTTGACTCAGGGAGTCATTCCACTTAGTCTCTTTCCCCTCTCCTAAGAACAGGCTTCGGTTATGTAATTATGTTTCAAGATTTCTTATAAGGAGTTTTTACTTTTATTCCTTTATCCTGATTGGATAATGGTTTGCGATGACTGGCTAAGAGCTGTGGAAACACAAAGATGAGGCAAAAAAACCTTGAGTGTCTATGTAAATATTTATAAACATAATAGACTATAAACTCTGTGAGATGTTGTTAGGGTGATGACTGCTCCTTAACCTCCAACCCGAAGAATCACAGCCAGAGGTACAGTAGGCACAGCAACTCGCAAGCCACAAACCCATAAATCACACATGCAGCCTTTATTTGCAAAGTGAAAGTAAGTCCGCAAAGCAGAAGCACATCCCAGAGGAGGGACAGGTCAGCCCCCGAGGGACGACCCTGTGGAATACAAGTTTTGTTGTTTTTATTATGGACATGGGGGCTGTAGCTGTGGGGCGTTGATCTGCTCCCTGCCCGTGATTTTCCATTATTCTTTCTGAAAACCCACTGAGGGGAGTGAAACCACAATGCAGCCACATCTAAGGTTACACTTGGTCACTCTTCTCCTACTAGTGCATGTGCTTTGTGTAGGGGAAAGTCACAGCTTCCCGTTGTTGTGTTTAATCACTCTTTTTCTTATTGTTTGAGCCCATGGAGTCATTTGTTTAATCTTGTTCAATCAACCATTGCAGGCCAGGAAAACTCCACCTTTCACCCACCCCCTTGCTGAGTCGTCCTCTTCTCCTAACTGCACCCTAACAATGTGGGCCTGTGTTTATCAAATTCATGATGCTTATATCCTCAGCACTTGGCTCAGATGACAATACTAGGTAGTGGGGATGTGCAGACCATTCTCAATCTACAACTATTGATTGAATCCCAATTCTGTGTTAGACACTCACGTAATCAAAGTGACAGAGACAAGCAAAGTTCCTGCCTTCATGAACCTTATATTTTAGAGCCAGAAAATACTCTAATGCCAGGGAGAAGGGACAGATAAGTGACAAGAAAAACGATGCAGTGAGATGGGATAGAGAGTGTTGTGTGAGTGGGGGAAGAAGGGGAACTGTTCTATTACAGAGAATATGGTGTGAGAAGCTTCCAGAGGAGGAAGTATAGTGATTAGCTGGGGATGAAGGTGGATAAAACCATAGTGTCAAGGCTCCAAAAACATCACTTGCATTTCAGGAGGTTAAATTCTACCTCTTTGTAGTTAGTTAGATTTGAGGCAGTATCTATGTATAAGTCTTGGGGGGAATAAAAACGACTAAAGTCTGGATTTTGGATTAGATTAGGAGTTAATGAATTTGTAAAATATGCCCCCTTTTCTGTGGGAAAGTACCAGCGTTGGCACTCTGGCAGAATGGCTGGCTCCACATAGCTGGAGGTGGGCTTTGGCTAAATTGTTCATGGCCTAAGTACTTTTGTGTGTTTCTGACTACCTGTCTGCAGCTCACATGATCTGGACAGCTCTCTACACTGGTTCACTGCTCCCACCGTGCAGGTGACTATGAACTGAGGCTCAGGGGATGGTTTAACAAAAACTTATTGAGAAGCGTGTTAAATGCCGCAGCAAACTCACGTGTAGAAACTGCTGTTTGCACACTCAGAAGACTAAGATTCTCTACATATTAACTTAATGCAAACTGCCTTCTTCATTTGCTTTTAAAAACCTGTTTCAAGTTCCTAACAGTATCCAGTAAGTGTACACTAGGTTCTGTTCCCCTCCCTAACTCCTGACGAAAAAGAAAAAAAAATCAAGCTGTTGTTTGGTTTGGTGTTGTTTTCCCAGCCAAGTGCGTAAGTTAGGGATGTTTCCTACGGATCTTGTGATGGGTTTCATTGTGGTGCTCATTTTGCTTTAGGCAGTACAGACACCTTCGCGATTCCTTCTGTAACAAATCTTTTTCAAAGTCTTTGCGGCGGCTGACGGAGCCGGTCTGCTGACCCGTTGATCTTACACGGTCTTTAACCTCGACACACGAAACTTACGGTCTCTTCGAGGCCAAGAGAACAAATGAAAGTGTTCGTTCGTCTTTCGGAAAATATTTATACATTTGGTATGCTCTCCGCCATCCATTGGGTACTTAGTAATGAATACGGAATGTGACATCGGTTTTACACGTTCGCAAGTTTTTGTTTTAAGTTCCTGGGAAGCTATGTCCATATGTAACGTTTCATTTTCCTGACTGACTTATCTTCAGTCTGCTCCAGGACACCCCTCTCGCCTAGCGATTGTTCTCTTTTGGAGAGCATTTGGGAAGCGAAGCCGTGACTTTGGACGGCCTTATAGTTTTATTCTCCCCGCGTTACTCCCCTCTGTACACTCAGAGTCGAGGCCGCCTGCCTCTGAGCTGCAAGAACCGTGGCTGGCTTGGAGAGGAGGGTGTGGTGCTGGCGACAGGCTCCCGCTGGCGACTCGCTAGCCAGCGGGGTTAATCGGGGCGCCGGGGTCAGCGCCCTCTAAGTTGGGGGCCTCGGGCGAAGCCGCGCGGAGCCAGGACGGTCGCTAGACCGGAGCGCCCCGCAGTGCTGTTCGCTCCCCGGGGAAAGAATCGCCTTATCTGTCGCGATCCCAGAGGGATCTTACTCTTCCCAGTGTAGTCCCAGCTACTGAGCTCTGGGCCCACGTAGGCGAAGCGGAGACGGCCAGCGGGGAAGCCCAGACCTGGAGCAGGGGAGAGGGGCCGGGGGCCGGGGGGATTTCCTCCCGCGCTTCCCTCTCCAACAGGAGCGGAAAATGAGATTTGCTGTGCATTCCAGGCGCGGTTCCCTGGGGTGACCTCTCCCAGCCGGCCAGGGCGGGGGGAGCAGACAAAGAGGCGAGGCGGGCGGAGAGGGGACCCCGCGGGGAAGCAGGCGGGGTGCGGGGGGCGGGGTCAGTACCGGGAAAGGGGGCGGACAGCTGGCCCGGCGGCGGCGGCGGCGGCGCCTGGCCAATGAGGCGCGGCCCCGGGCGCCGCGCTGGGCCGCCGGCATTTAAACCGGAGACTGCGCGATGCCTGGCACTCTGTGTGCCCTCCGCGGACCGGGCGACCCAGTGCACAGCGGCAGTGTCACTCTCCGTCCCGCTGACCCCGCGCCGAGCCCGGGCGGCTCGGGCCGCCGCTTCACGTAGCGCCAGGCATCAAAAGCACAGTCTGGAAGACCCGACGCATTGACAGGTGAGCGCGGAGTCACCCGGCAGGGGTGTGTGTGTGTGTGTGTGTGTGTCAGGGGTGTATGCGTGGGAACCCGCAAACGAACCCTAAGTCCCGCTGGGTTCAGACGCACCGCAGCCCTTCGTGCACTGGGGCGGGAACCCCGCACTTAGCTGGTGTGAACCGTGAAGAACCAACGCGGGGTCCTTCCTGCCGAAGTCGTGAAGGCTGTGATCTCACTGCTCTGGGTTTTCAGGGAAACAGAAAAACCGGCTGTAAAAAACCGGCGGGATGACCCTGCATCCCACTTCCACCTCCCGGAGCTCGGCGCACACGCACCTGGCGCCAGTGGCAGCAGCTCCTGCCAGGAGCGCTCGCATAGCGGGGACCCAGAGTCGCGGCGGGCAGAGCGCTAGAGCAGCGGGTACCAGCTGCTTGCCGACGGCGCTGGCACGTCGCACTGAGAAGGTCCCGTGTGGTTGATTCTGGGGGGAGCTCTGGGACGTCTTGGGGTGCCTTTCTGAGCGCGGTGAGTGATCCTGCTGGAGGTTCCGTATAATTGGCGGTGTGTGCATCTGCCTGTTACCGAGGTGAGATGTAGACTGACACGAGCGGGGCCTCTGGGTTCGGGTACAGGGGAACCCCGAGACCCAGCGGTGAATAACCAGGCAGCTGGAGTGCGGTGCGCGGCCCTGAGCTCGGGGTCCTGCGAACCCGCTGTGTCCTCACGGCACGCACCGCACACACATCCTGGCTGTGCACACGCGGGCTCTCGGGTCTCTCTTCTGAGCCTCTCCCAGCCCCACGCACGCCCCGGTGGAACACAAATGTTAAAGCGCGTGAAGCGACCACCGGCTAGGTCCCACTTTGTTGTACCACTTACTCTGTGTCCTAGCGGCCCGGCCTTGCCTCCGAGCGCCTTGCTGGCTCGGGACCACCACGGACTGGCGGCGGGGGCGGGTTGGCTGCGCGAACTCGCTGGTGGTCCCTAGTCCTTGCTTGCCGCCTAGCTCACTGCACTGACCCCTCTACGGCTTGCAAAGCAAGGCTGGGGTCTGGGAATGGTGAGTGGGGGGCGCGTCGGGTTGGGCTGTCACTTCCTCGCTGGCCAGAGTTACTCGTAGACCTTAGGCTTGTTGATGCCTGCAGATCCCAGCTCTGCCTTCTGGGTGCCTCACCTTGGCATTTCCCTGTACCGGGCTCTGGCGACGGTCACCAGGCAAGGTGGGGCGGTGACGGGGGCCGGAGGCGCTAAAGGTGACCAGACTCTGCTTTGGATTTCTTCCTGCGCGCTCAGAGCTGTCTCCAGTGAGCTGCCAGGTGGAGCAAGCCTGCTGCCTTCCTCTCCTCAACCGACTCCGAGTCCTGGCTCTTTTAGATAGAAATACAGCCTCTAAGTTAGGGGTTAAAAATCTCCTCTTAAATGGTCCGAGGGCAAAGAGGCGACCCTCGGTAGGTAATTGGATCTCCTTCTGGAAAGAGCAAATCTGAGCGTTGTACTCGTGTGTTTATGTTCCCCTCGGGATGGTGCCAGGACAAGAAGTGATAAAAACAATCTATTGTGTTAAGTGGGTCACTAGGGCTTTAAGTTGTCCCAGGGACCCCAGAGTAGTGGCTTTCTTCTGGCTGTACACACAAGTTAAACAAACATCTTAGAAGAGGTTAAGATAACCCCGATCCCAGGGTGAGGAGTCTTCTTTCACCCTTAGGGCTTCCCCCCTCTGTTTCTTTTTTCTTTTTTCTTTTTGGTGGGGGGTGGGGGATGGGGAGAATACTTGGGAGAGTTAAGGGGATGTACTTTTTCAAATCAACAAGGGAAAGATCTTAAGAAAACTATAGACTTTCATCCCTTCCAAGTTCACAACAGTAGGCGATTTGATTACTATCACTAGATAAATTACACTGTCAAATTGTTAATATTAATAAATTGTTCAAGGGTTCTTTAGCACTGTAGAGTATGGGTGTTTGTGTGTGTTTAACCCCCAGGTCATTGTAAGAATTAGAGTCTTTTGTAAACTTTGTAATTTCATAGGTCCTATTTTCTTAAAAGTTCATTTTGAGTGAAATGTTTTGCTAACCCACAATCTATCGGAAATCCAGGTTGGCTAATGTGGTCTTTATATCAGGGATTACACAGAAACGGTGAGAAACCGATTGTGTTCCCATGTTTCTGAATCCGGCTGCTTGCCCTGTTTTAAACTGAAGCTGATGATGCTCTCAGTCTTAATGGTCAAGTATTAGAAGTGATAAAATGCAAGAGGTTTCACACCATAGACCCCTCTCCCAAGAAATGCTTGTTGACGGCAAAGCTGTGCAGCATGTTCTAGAACAAAAAGTAAAGAACGGACGGGAAACCTAAACCTTTTATGTACAGGAAAGGAGGGGGCAGCAGTTAGGGGAGGTGACTTCAGCATCTAGCTGAAAGTCACCCATCAGGCAAGTGCTACCCAGCCCATCTTACATCTGCAAGGAATTTTCTTTAGTTTAACATATGCTTTTAGAAATGCAAAGTACACTAGGAATTCCTAGGACAAGAGAAGTCTTTTTCTTAACATGTGAACTCGAAGATACAAAGTAAGTGTAAACGTTTATTTATACTTTCATTTACAGTATTCTTCAAATTCATCCCATTAGAAAACAAACTCAGGTGTCTCTTGCTAAGTATTGTGCCACGTGTCAATAGGACAGTGATTAAAGTCATTTGTTTGCTAGATAGAACTGGGCTTAAGCCCTTACTTTTCCTATGTACAAGTTGCATGTCCTTGGACGGATGTCTAACTTTTCTTTGCCTGGATTTGCTGATTGGTAGAAGGAAGACACTATTATCTACCTCATATTTTGTTATTAAAATGGCTGATATAGCAAGGGCTCCAAAATAAAAGGCAACTCATTGGGAGAAGTGGCAATATTATGCAGCACCAATATGTGTATCATGGCGGTTCTCAACTAAATCCTGAATCCTGCACACGTAGTGACTAATATGTATCTTTTACTGCAGTACAGAACCTATAACTTGGGTGTCTTTCAGTCCTGCTGCCTAGTGAACATTTCTATTTAATACTTTCTAACTTGTTTCCTGTTGACCTCAAGAATTGTAAATAGCTACTTACTCTGCTAAACAATCCTCCCCAAACATAGAGCTCCTGAGATATGTAACTACCAGGTGGTCTCCTCCCTGTCCTGTGCAATTTTGGGCCCCAGCTTGATTTAGCCTAACTGGTCTTCAGAATACAGAGGCTGTTTAGGGTACCTGCAACATAGGGGGTGAGAGTTTACCAGCATGCCAACCAAGAATTCTTATCTTCTTGGTGCAACTTGTTTGAAAAAAAAAAATCAACACAGCATATTTTTTAAATTATCTATTTAGCTCTAAAAGTCATCTTTTAAAATTAAAGATCAAATAAAAATAACTTTTACTCTTTCCAAAAGATTCAATTCTGAGAAGAAAAGGACCAATTATTCTAAAACCTGGCCTGCATTTAGAGCATTTGCAATCACTTCCATTATTTCTGATGCCGAGAAAACAGTTTGACGTTACGCCCTTTGAATGTCTTTCTAGTACTTGATTCGTGAGGAGGACTTGACTAAAAGTTCAGGCAGAGTCATTTGGTTTTCACTGTGATTCCTATTCAAAACTCCACTGAATATGAGCTGGTTCAAACACACAAGAAGAGTGTGAAAAGATCCTGGCTTAAACTTTCCCAAAGACATAGAGAACATTGTAGACAGGCCACGCATACCATTTTGGAATAAATGGTAAAATTCAGTCCTAAGTTAGCATAATGACTGGCATAGTAAGGGCTCCAAAATAAGAGTCAACTGTTATTAGAAGATTGTGTTCTTAGAGGCTTTGTGAACATTGGAGTACATCACCTGATAGAAGTGGTTACTATGGCTCTTCTAGCTTGTAGATGTTTACTCACCATCATTAGGGGAAAGGAAAGCATGAGGTAGAGAGGACCTGCTTGGAGAGCATCTGTGTCCTCTGGTCTAAGGGGACTGGAGGGGAGGATAGAGGCAAGAGTAAGGTGAAGATGGAGTGAGGCTTTCTGGTGGAGAACATTCACAAAGAAAGCTCACCATAAAAATATGATTATATAACTTGGAGGAGCAGAACTGCATTAAGGAGAAGTTGAGGCTGGCTTTACAAAGAAGAATAATACCAGAGAGTCAAGGGAGATGTTTGCCAGGTGTCATGATGTACCCTGGGTCCATGAGACGCAGCTTTATTTAATTTGATGATGTGAATAGGCCATCATAAATGAAAACTGCTATAAGGTGTCTGCAGCTAATGGTTAGACATAGATAGTAAGTCATTGTCCGGATTAGCATTTGGACTGATTTTTTACTATGGGGAACCATGCAGGGTGAGACTATGAAAAAGAATTAATTGTCCTGAAGGAATTTACATCTTCTGCATTTCCTTCACATTGAAGATGTTTACAAAGTGAAAATTATTTGGTGGCATTACAATTGGGATTTCAAGTACAAATCATTCCTGTTTTCTTCACAGAGTGCTTGAGACCAGTTTGGGGGTGGAGAGAGCTGGGATGATCACCCACAATGTGACAGAGTATTCAGTACCAATCATAGTTCTCATCTCCCCACTGCTACTCTGTAGCGCATCCAGTGTGCTTCTGAGTACCGCTGTTCCCTAAGAAGCTGAGGTCTCTGTTGATTGATATTCTTGGAATTGGTTTTTACTTCTCTCCGAATAAAGGCTAAGAACTCCAAACCCTCCCAATAAACACTGAATATCTTTTGGGTTTTTTAAAAAATAAAAATCCATCTCACTGTCCATCCCTAATAAATCTTATTTTAAGAAAAATGTCCTTTTCTTTAAAAACAAAACAAACAAAAAAAAAAAAAAACAAGGCCTGTCACTCTAGATCCCTTTGGTTCAGGGGATGGGCATGCTGTCACAGGAACAGGAAATGTGGCCAAATTACAACTGAAAACCACAATTGACTCATTTTGGATTTATAGCTTTGTTGTTGATTTCTGCCATAGTATATTCTGTGGCTTCAATTAGAAAGTAAAACCCACAACATTCCACATGGGACCAGGTGAAAAGTTAGGGCCCTTTGGATCTTTCCTAGTAGAAGAAAGACAAGTGTTTGGGAACTTTCTAGGCTAGAAGGAGTTTGCCATACTGAGGGTGAGAAACCCAAAGGGTTGTGTTTGGCTCTTCCATCCATTGGCACTGGGGAAGGCATATTAAAATGCAAAGAATGGAAACTTTGTAAATGAATGTAATCTGTAACAATTACGCATTTACCAAATTTTAATGAGCACCAACTCCTGCCAGAAGGCAAGGTGATGAATAAGCCCTCATCAACTCTCAGACTAGATATTTATTCAGTAACAGATGTGAAAATGCCAGGAAGGAAAAGCTGAGTATAAAGAGGGCCTTACGTTGGCCCACAAAAAGAAAATTGCCTTTTTTTAACAGATGTTTGTGGAAGGGGATGATGTATCTTGTGCAGTCGGCATACATTGACCTCTGTGGGGAATCTTGGGCTGAGGGTTGGATGGGTTTCGAGGTTGTTTTGTGTAAGATTGGGTACCTGGGCCTTGGGGATACCTCACGTACTACTCTGTTGAAATGGGCAGCAACTGCATGTATTTTATCTTATTTATTTTTGATCTTGACCCTAAATTGACTAAACAGCAGAAACTTGTGAAAGCTTCTCAAATTCATAGTATATTTGCCCAGGACTCTGAAGGGTTATGGGTCAAGTTTTTCCTAATCTCAGGAGAAAAAAATATGTCCTGTTTTATATATAACTGGACTTTTCTTATAAGTGATTTTTTAAAAGGCCAAAGAAAAAAATTAATTTTTTGTTGTTGGAGCAAAAGAAGTTCTTTAAAGACACTGATATTGTAACAGAAACGGACAAAAGCCAGGAAAACTACAATCAGAGCAAGAGCTAAAAATCACCTTATCAGCTCCAAACTTGCCCACACTTAAAAATACTTTAGATTTAATATTTAATTATCCTGATTTGACATTATCCTTAGGGTGGAATGTTTTTTACTTACTTAAGCTGTAGAGAACATAGAACTATACCATCTTTGTGCAAGATATTTGCTTAGCCTAATAATAACCAATTTATCTACTTTCTTGGGGGGAGAAATGATAAAGTTACTATTAAATTACCCTTAGTGGTTATCACTAGTAATTCTGGTGTTCTGAAGAGAACAGGAAGATGAATACTTCACAGCTGTGTTCGTGGGTCCAGAATGCCACAGGATTGGGGCAGGAGAAGCCTCAGGATTTAGGACAGATGATTGTGATGGCCAACGGAGGGAGACTGGGAATTTGGAACTGCATTTATTGAAAAGAAAATCCTTCCATATCTAAACAATTCCCTCTGTGCTGGACGGGCGCCGGTGCTACAGGCCTTGCTGCTCAAAGGCTGGTAGAAAAGCAAACACAGTGAGTCAGAACCTGCATCTTAACAATATCTATCCCTAGATGAATGTCGCCCTTTCCAGTCTAAGCACCGTCCCTGGAGAACCTTAGTTCCAAGTCTAGTTCCTAGTCTGAGCCTTCTCTCTCCCTCTAAGAAACATACTTCTCTGAGTCTTCCTCCCCCTCCTCCTCCTCTTCTTGCTCTGTCTGCCCTATCTTCCCTGAACCCCCGGGAGGAGTTCTCCTTTCTTTAATTTGCTGATTCACTCCCATTATTTTTTCTCTAAGCTTTTGTGTTTTTTTGTCAGTTTTCCCTTGGCCTCACCCACTTGTCATTAATTTTTGCCGTTGTTCACGTCATTGCCTTCTCTGACTCACATCTAGTTCCAGACCCATCCACAGTAATTCACCGCCGTTAACTTTTTCAACATGTTGGTGGCAGTTATTAATGTAAATATTTGCACACCCTTGTTCCATGGCGCCTATTTTTCTACATTTTATACTGCATACCCACAGAGAGATACATGTGAAGGGTACATTTCACTGTTTAAAAGGTAGAAGAATATATCATGGTCTGAAGGATGGTGCCCTTCATCCTGAGGGATGAGAAACCGAAAGGGAATGTCTGTGCCCAGCTTGAAATGAGAATAAAGTAGTTGAGGAGTCTCACGTACAGTCATCTGTCCTGTCTGCATTTGGTTAGTTCTCAAATTCCTTTCATGCTGACATTGAACTTGATCTCCACAACCTACCTGGGAAGACAAGGTATTTGTATCTTCTCAAATCCAGTCATTTATTGAGAGGTAAGGTGACTTCATCAAGCTCAGACTGCAGGTGGTTGCCCCAGGACTAGGACTGGACACTTGCCCTGGCTGTCAGTTGGTGTCCCTCGGTCAGATGCTTGCTGGTCTCCAGGAGTCTCTTTTTTCTCACGTGATAGGAGGGACAGTCTCCTTCGCATTCAGAACTCAGGAAGCCTCAGGATGGTTGGGAAGAAAACACTGGACCCCTTCCCTGGGGGATGAGGCCCGCTAGGCAGGGAGGCTGCTTCATATTGCAGTAAGACAAAAGAGAAAGTTCCCTAAAGAAGTGCAAAGGAAATGTGGCCATGACATGGGAGGGCTTAGTAAGTATTGACAAATACAAGAATGAGTGCCGTTAATGAGTATAATACGAGGGCACACACGCAGCTGTCGGCAGAAGCCTAGATGAAGTTCTGTGGGAGTCCAGGAGATGAAGGGAGCGGCCCTGGCTGAGATGACATCTTGGTTTCTTCACTGTGAGAACCTGGGCAAGTTATTCCTAGATCCGTGGCTGGGAGGGTAATGAGAATAATAGTACCTCAGTCACAGAGATATGGTGCTTAAATGAAATATTTCACCTCAAGTGCTTCAAAAGTGCCACCTAAAATGCTAGGTGCTATTTTTAACTTTTAAATTAATCGACTTTTCCACTTCTCGTGTCTCCCCCGTCTGTGCTCCCTCCTACAGCATGAACCGCACCGCCTACACTGTGGGAGCCCTGCTTCTCCTCCTGGGGACCCTGCTGCCGGCCGCCGAAGGGAAAAAGAAAGGGTCCCAAGGCGCCATCCCCCCACCCCACAAGGCCCAGCACAACGATTCGGAGCAGACTCAGTCTCCCCAGCAGCCCGGCTCCAGGAACCGGGGACGTGGCCAAGGGCGGGGCGCCGCCATGCCGGGGGAGGAGGTGCTGGAGTCCAGCCAGGAGGCCCTGCACGTGACGGAGCGCAAGTACCTGAAGCGAGACTGGTGTAAAACCCAGCCGCTCAAGCAGACCATCCACGAGGAGGGCTGCAACAGCCGCACCATCATCAACCGCTTCTGCTATGGCCAGTGCAACTCCTTCTACATCCCCAGGCACATCCGGAAGGAGGAAGGCTCCTTCCAATCCTGCTCCTTCTGCAAGCCCAAGAAATTCACCACCATGATGGTCACGCTCAACTGCCCCGAACTGCAGCCGCCCACCAAGAAGAAGAGGGTCACTCGCGTGAAGCAGTGTCGTTGCATATCCATTGATCTGGATTAAACTAAATTTGGATGCACCCAGCCTGGCCCAGGCGGGCCCAGAGCCAGATCTGAAACAACCCGATTCTTAACTTGGCTTAAACTAGAGGCCAGAAGAACCACCTGCTGCCTCCTGGCAGGAGCCTGCTTGCGCGTAGTGTGTGTGCATGAGTGTGCCTGGGTTCCTGTGTGCGTTTTCACACATCAGAGGAAACACGGTTTCCATCCAGGGCACTTCTTATTTTGTAAACATATCTCTTTAAAGGGGTGGTCCAGCAGCCTACCCCACCCCCACCCCGACTCACATCAGAGGGGCAGGAGTGTGGTCTCTTTCTGCCCACGTCATCCCCCCAGCCCTCCTGGGGAGCAGAAACTCCTTTCAGAATGAATGTTAAAGGAAAAGGCTACCTGCTTTAGTGCTGCATTGGACAAGGGAAAGTTCTTTCAACCTGTGCTCACTTCCTCCCTTCCTCTTCCTGGCCACAGTCCAGTCAGTCCCTTCTAAGGTCCTCAGACCTGCCAAGGTTTCTAAATTAATTTGCTTCACTTGGGTGTACAGGTCCTTTGTGAAGGCCCTCCAGACTCCAGGGGAGGCTGATGGGCAAGGACAAGCAGGATAGTGGAGTGGGGAACTGAATCTGGCCCAAGTCGGTAGGGAGATGTACCCATCCCAGAGCACAGTTAGACCTATGCTTCATGAAAGTTTGTTCCCAGTTAACAGAGCCCAAGTGAACAGAGGAGAAATGGGATTGCCAAAGAGTTACTGTGATCTGCTGAGACTGCCTGTAACCCAACACCAAACTTCACACATAAACATTTACTACTCTGATTTTCAGAACCAAGTGAGTGAGCCATAACCGAATTAACCTTTCTGCTTTGTCCCTCAGGTGGACAAGAGATGTAGTTCAGAACCCTCTCCCTGGAGATTGGGAATAAACAAAAACCTCATAGACCAAAGTTCCTAAAAACTTCC